GTCCAGAGCAAACCAGCCACCGCATGCTCACATTCCTTCCCCCAGGGAGTTAGAGCCCTCAGACTCAACTCTCTCTGCCACACTCTTTCTGGGACTCTCCTACCGGGAGGGAAGCTGGGACAGGCTGAAGGACAGCAGGTGTGAGGAAGCAACAGGAAGAATCTTTCCCCAACCCCCAAGGGGTCACAGCCCCCTGCTAATGGGCAGAGCTGAAGGGGACAAGGAAGACACAGGTTCAGTGGGAGGGTCACTGTTCAAAGCCAATCATTATGATAAGAACAAGGTGTGTCTGGCACAAGAGCAATGCCTTTGACCCCCTGACCTCTCAGGTCCTCTGCAGGGACAGTTCTGCCAGCAGTGTCTCCATCCTGGAGAAATGGGGCCCAAAGAAGTGTCTACCCAAAGAGCAAGACAAAAGACTGAGAAGATGCCACAGTGACCAGGGCACTTTTCTGCCCATCTCCAGCACAGAATGAAGCTTCAGGAAGCGCTAAGCCAAGGGACAGGGATATTGAAACTCTGATGACCCAGCCCCTGTGGAGACACTCTTCCCACCCCTTTCTGAAACCTGAGTTCCCATGCCTAGCGTTCCATCAGCAAGAATTGGTGCCTCACAATCCCAGGGCATACTCAGACGGGCTGAAAGGGAATAACACCTGGATGCATGGACCATTCTGAGCTTGATTTGCCAAGAACTCCCATGCTACACGGGGCTGGGGACAAGGAACGCAGCAGGTGTTTATATAGAAAAAGACAGGATGGTTTCAGGCCAAGTTTGAGTTCTCAAGAACCAGTAGTGAAGTGAACACTTAGGGTTTGTGTTGGTGGAATTACAATGTCTGGAGCAGGGCACTGACTTGAAGGAGGCAAGTGAAGGTCAGCCCTGGGTGCTGTTTCCAGGCAGGGCACAGACAGTAGCTCCCGAGGCATGCTGGGAGGAGTCAAATGCAGTGGTGATGGACAAGGAGGTGATGGAAACAAGCCAGTCACTCCTCTCCATCTACTGAACATGTGACTAGAAGCCAGCTGCATGGTTAATATTGGGGGGGAATTTTCTTATTTGACTCTGGCAATAATTCCTGGAGGGAGGAACTGCCATTATCCCTATGTGGAGGATGAAGAAAAAGTGCAGAAGATGAAGGATGAAGGGACCATGGGAGGCACACATGCTGGCATTCTAGCTGGTTGTGATGCCTAATCCCGCCCCCCCCCCCCCAGGGTTTCTCTGTGTAGTCCTGACTGTTCAGCTGTTCAGACTGGCCTCAAATTCAGAAATTTGCCTGCTTCTGCCTCCCGAGTGCTAGGATTAAAGCTGTGTGCCGCCACTGCCTGGTAGTCAATCCAGTCTTTAAGATTTGCTCTTATTTTGGTGGTGGCGCACACCTTTAATCCCAGCAGTTGGGAGGCAGAGACAGGTGCATCTCTGTGAGTTCAAGGCTAGTCTGGTCTACAGAGCAAGTTCCAGGACAAGCTACAAAGCTACACAGAGAAACCCTGTCTCAAAAAAAAAATTGCTTTTATTTCTGTCCATGTTATGTGTACGTGTGCCCATAGAGGCAGGAGAGAGGTGCCCAGTCCCCTGGAGCTGCAGTCATAGGAGATGTGAGCAGGCCAACATGGATGCTAGGAACTGAACTTGGCTTTTCTGCCTGAGCAGGCTGTGCTCTTCACTACCAAGCCATCTCCAGCCCTGTACTAGTTAACTCTGAGTGTCTACTTTACCAAGTTTAAATCCCCTAGGACACCAACGTTTGGGCACGTATTAGAGGGGCTTTCAGGCTGGTTTAACTGAGGTAGGAAGAACATGGGGGCAGCATCATTTTACAGGCTGGGGTCACAGACAAGACAAGGAGGAAGTGAGCCGAACCTCCGCTGGCTGGGAATGGATACCGTGTGATGTTGCCTCACACTCCTGTGTCATGTCTGTCCTCCATGATGGGCTGTGGTCAGGCATGTCTGTCACGGCGAAGGCACAGGTAACTAACGCTCCGCCCTGCTTGCCCTGGCCAGCTCCTCTCTGCCACAGATGGCCATGGCTTAGATGGAGGCTTGCAGCATTTATCCTGACCTCTTCACCTCTGAATAGGACTTCACTTGAAGGTACTAGCTGGAGCACCCAGTACTTGGGATCGGTTAACCTGACCTCCTAGGCACCTGCCCCGCCCCTCCCATGGACAGGAACTGTCCCTGAGGATGTACCAGAGTACAGGAGCAGGGAAGATCTGCGGTGTTGGGCAGGCGTGGGAGGAGCAGGGTCACTGGGTAGTTAAGGCGAGGTCCTGGCCTGGAATTCCAAGGTGGACACTGGAGTGTGCTCTACTGAGAACAGAGTCATTTGGGCAAGGGAGTGGTCCTCAGGTCAGGCCTGGCCCAGAGCAGGGGTGGGAAGGCCACACGACTGGCATCCAGCCCCAGTAGAAGCCATTAATTAACTCATGGCCTGAGGTGAGTCTCTTCACCTCCTGGCCTGTTTCCTCTCCTGGACACTAAGATAACAAAACCTGCCCAGTGAGGCCTGACAGAGATAAATGGTCTCAGCTGCTCTGTGTAGACTTGGTGAAGCCTTGTTATTACACAGGGGTGGGTTTGGGGAGGGCCTCTCCGGTCTGACCTGAAATGTCACTCACAGACAGGATGCTGCAGCCTCTGCTTTCCCTGAGGGAAGCCCAGGGGGCCAGCATCGCCCGCATCTAAAGAAGGAAATGGGTGCTCAGCCACTGGTGTTGGCTATGATTTCTGGATGAAATGGCTGATTCCATCTAAGCTCCCAGCCCTGACTTTTGAGGGACAGGTCCCAACCCAAGGGCAGCTGTTACCCTCCTGGGCACTGTGCCCATTTGCCCATCCATCCCTTCCTGTAGGAAAGCTGTCCTCTCTCACCATACCCTATCCCTGAGAGAGGAAAATTCCTATAGTAAATGTGGGTCAGAGGCAGAGAGGAAGGTGAGGGCCCCACCGGGCTGGGATCCAATTTCTGCGGCCTGTGTCTTGGACTTTCCCACTGAAGCAATGGTGACTTGTTCTGGGGGACCCAGGGAATCAGAGCAGCCTTTGGAACCAAGAGAACGAGGTTAAGTGTCTCTAAAGGAATGCAGCAAGTCCTAAGTTGGGGGCCTCAAGAGTGGGGACAACTGTTGATTGTTGTCCTCAAGAACAGCTGGGCTCTTTGGTGTTGAGACACGGTCTTACTATGTATCTTGGCTGGGCTGGAATTGGCTCGCAGATCAGGCTTGCCTTAACCTCAGAGGTCCATGTGCATCAACCTCCGAAGAGCTAGGTCTAAAGGTGCAGGGACCACACTTAAAATCTGTCTACTATCCAAGTGAAATGACTTTCCTCATCTGCCTGGCTACTTGTCATATCAGCTCCGGGTCTTCCGTGTGCAGAATGAGACCCACTTGCCTAACCACTCAGTGGCAGAGCCAGGGACAGAATTGGGTGTCTTGACTACAGCAGCCTCTGCCCCCCCCCCCCCCGGCAGTGCCCATTGTCAGTGTGGAAGAGTCTGGAGAACTGGGGGTGCAGTTGCCCATGAACTGTTGGCTTAGTACGCATGAGGCCCTGGGTTCCATTCCCACAGGCAGAGAGGAAGAGGAGAGAAAGAGGGCAAGAGACGAGGGAGGAAGGGAAGGGAAAAACCAGTCTATCAGCATGGCTCCATAACTGCTCAAGTGTGGTTAGGGTCCTAAGGCCTGACCTGGCACAGTTGTACTGCCTCAACCCTGCGCCCCCAGCCCCTGACTGACCTTTCTGTGTCTAGACACAAACCCTCCTGACGAGAGGCTGCAAGAGCAGGGACGTGTGCTGGAGGACACTGAAGCTGCCTCGGGAGGCTGCAGAGGCAGGGAGCACCCTGCCAGTGCTGAAGCCAGTCTGATCTGCAGAGGGTTATCCCCCAGAGCAGAGACCAGCGGGGTGGAAGAGGGAGAAGGGTCAAGGGCAGGAGCTCCAAGGTGAGGCAGCAGTCTCCTCCTGCATCCTGCTGTATCCAATCCCCTTTGTGCATTTTAGAGAGTGCAGGCGACATCCACTTGTCAGGAGGGCATTCTCAGTCTAATCTCCGTGCAGAAGATGGTGGCAGAGGAAAACCGGGGAGCCCCACCCCGGACTGTTGCCTTGATGAGAGGGCCACATGATCACTGCACAGGACGGGGAGCCACACAGGGAGCACCCAGAGAAAAGGCCTGTCTATATGTCTTGGGCGAACGGGCTCTCATGCTCACTCAGGCTTCAGAGCTCATCACAGGGAGAAGGCACAGCCTGAGGAAGAACGGAGTCCCTGCCACAAGAGGGCACCAGGTGGCCTGAACGATGGGGGCTGGCAGGAGACTGCTGGGCCTGCTGGACCTGAGCTAAGGTACAGGTCCCTGGGGGCTCCATCCTGGGGCGGTCCTCCAAGAGAGCCTACAGCAACAAGCTGGAAGGCAGGGCAGATGTCATATGGTTTTACCTGGGCTACTTCTGGGATTTTAGCAAAATCCTGTGTGAACGTTCCAGATTTGGCTCAGCTGTGCTGGGGTAGCTGAGGAGAAGAAGCTGTGGTCTACCTTTGGGCCAACATGTTAAGGGGTGGCAGTTGCCCATGGGGCTTGCCTGGAGGGGTGTAGAGGAGAGTCTGGTGAAATGTCTCTCCTCCCCTCCCTGGTCCACTTCAGCCTGGGATGAGAACATCATCTCTTGGAGCACCTTTCCTCCAGTTTCCTTCTACATCTGGGCTCCCAGCAACGGGGTCTTGTTCTGCAAGAGCTCGTCCATCCCTGGCAACTATAAGTTTTAGGCTTCTTAGAGAAGAAAAAGAAATGACCAGACTTTACAACCACCCTGCTTTTGCCAGAATTACCCTATCTTTATCAGGCCTGCCTGTTCTACCTATCTAGACCCCTGCCAGGAAAGACTGCACAAGAAGATAGACTCACTGAACCAGAATTTAAAAATAATTATATTAATAATAAATATGTTAAGTTACATTTAAAACAATAAATAGAAAAATAAACTGATAAATAAAACCAACAGGTACAAAATGTTTCAAAACTCCAACCAAAAAAAAAAGAAGAAAAGAAAAAAAAAGGGAAAACACATACAGACAGACAGCTGACAGACTAGACAAATGGACATTAGGGAAGGGTGCAAAATGCAACCTTGGGAACCCTTCACAGTTTACACCATGGCTCCCTCCTCTCCAGCTCACCCTCTCCTCTCCCCAGCTTGGGGAACTGGACACTCAGTGGCTGATATCTGTGGGGACTCCAGCAATGCAGAGAAGCATCTGGTCCGCCCCAGTGTCTGCAAAGCAGCTGAGTCCAGGGCTGGTGGGTGAGGTGGAGGTCTCCCTGCAGGAGGCGGGCGGGGAAGGACCAGGTCTACAGAGGCAGGTCGGTGCTGTTGTGCCGAGTCTTCCTGACGGTGCCATCATCCCGGGGCAGAGCCCTCTGCAGGTTGGACATGGCCACGGTCTTCTTGAGGTCAATCACGGCATAGGAGTCTGAGCTGCGAGCAGGGTGTGGGGTGGGCCCAGGAGCTCCGGACACTGCGGGGTTCTGGGGCCCCTTGGGATGGTCTGTGCCCCAGCCCTTGAGCTCCACCTGGATGTAGTTGAGCTGCCTTGAGGGCTCAGGGCCAGGCCGGCGGAAATCAAAGTTGAAGACTCTTGGGGAGCCTCGGCGTCGGGTCAGTGGGACAGGGAAGTTGCTGTGGCTACGGGTAGAGGAGCCCCGGGTGCTGGTAGGTTTCTGTAGTGGGGTTTCATCCTCCTCACCATCAGGGAAGCCATTTGAGGATGGTGTAAGCCCATCCCTGGAGTCCCCATCATCCCCGGCCTCCCGGCCCAGCTGCTGAGCTTGGCTCTCCCACACAGGGGGAAGCGGGGGCAGGTTCTCGTAGTGCAGTAGTGCGGCCCTACGGTGGGCCAGGCCATTCCACCCTGGCTCCTCTGGGCTCAGTCTCCAGCCAGCTGCTTGCCGCAAGCTCCCGCTGACATTCTCGTAGGTGCATTTGGGCTGGGCTGGGCATTCAGAAGGGCCCTCGTTATTGTTGTGATGGGGAGGGTCATGCATGTTGGGACACAGGCTTTGGCACTTCATTGCCTGCCGCCGAGCCGGGGTGGGGCCCAACACAAACTTGACCTGCCCTGGCTGTAAGAACACCTGCGGGTCCCGCTGGTCGGAAACCCGGGTCTGTGGGAAGGGTGCCCGGCCCTCAGGCAGTGGCTGCAGGCAGTGGCGACTCCTGCGGTGGTCTTCTTCACCAGTTGGTGTGTTGACATAGGTGTGGGACTGCAGGGGAAAGATGTCAAGGGAACAAGTGGGTTCAAGGACTAGGAGGGTGGGAAAGGCAGTGGGACAGAACCAGAGGAACAGGAAAAGAGCCACGTTTCTTCTGCCGCCTCTAAAGCTTCCAACAGGCTCACCCTTCTGGGGGTAGAAAGGAGCCCTGCTGGGTTTCTTCCCCTTCCCACACCCTTTCCTAGGCCCCATCCCCACCTGGAGTGCAGCCTACCACATGCGCACCTGCTCATCGGAGCCAATGAGGGTGTGGGTGGACTCTTCCCCAAGCGTGGGATGTCGGAGGCTGCTTGTGGAGGGTCGGCGGGGAGCGGAGAACCGTGTGCCCTCTCCAGGGCAGCCAGGGCAGCCATTGGAGAGGCTGGAGACAGTGTAGCCTAGAGGTGGCAGCCAAGGGGAGGGGGTATGGGAATCACCTGACAATCATTTACAATCAGATGCACACATTTGTGGGGTGCAAGGCAAGACACTCTCCGGGCTCCTCGTGTGACTAAGTCCTGGCCTGCCTTCTGAAGTCACCCTGAGGCCTGAGGCTGCCCCAGCTCCCATTCCATCACAGCGAGTTACTTTAAGCATTGGAAGGTATACCTGTCACCCCGGGACCATCCATGACTGCAGTCAGGCTTTGCCACTAAGCACCACGCAAACGCCACAAACACAGGGACTGTTTCTATCCCTCCTATTTCCCCCAGACCCGGCCAGGGAATGCAGAGCAATAAGCAGTTGTGTAGTCAGAGACCCAACGAACACAAACCGTGGGGAACCCCTACACAGTCATGGTCAGAGATGGCTGCACCAGTAAGGCAGGAGAGGTACACGTTGTGTGTAACTTAGCCCAGTAGACAGACAGAAGCAAAAAGCTCCAGACTGCTGTTTCTATGGCAACCCAACGTCTTCCTGTCTGCTTCCCAACCACTAGTCGACCCAGTGCCTAGGATTCTGCAGCTCCAGCTTGAGTCACCCAATTGGCCCTGCCCAGCACTGAGCCATCCTCAGGAATGGTTCTGATGATGGAATGTCCAGGAAAGCTGGCTCAACCCAGCTATCCCCTACCTGCTAGCTTGACTTGGGCCTCCCAGACTCACGGTTCCTGGGGTGGGGGTCTCCTTACCAGTGGGTTGTGAGGGCCCTCGAGGAAGCTCGAGCTCTGGGGGGTGGCTGTTCCGTGTGATGATAACTGGCTCTTCCAGCACGCTGATGCTGTTACATTGCATGAGATCCTGCAGCAGGTTGAAGATTTCCTCAGCCCGTGAGCACTTGAAAGCGAAGATCCCTGGAGAAGGCAAAAAAGCAACAAGGCTCTTGCCAACCCTAAGTGGTTAGGGAACTTCAACCAGTCAAAAGGAAATGTCCCTGAACTTCAATCCCACCCTGTGCCTCTCCTTTCCTAAGCATTCATCCTCGGGGCATTCTAGAACCCCAAAGACGCTGGAGGGATGGGTGGGAGGGGATGAACCCCTGGCACCTGTCTCTCTATACTACCTGCTATCGTTCCAAGGCCCAGCACTGCAGCCATATTCCCCGAGGTATGCTTGTTTTCATGAGGTTGGCTGCCTTCAGGGGTGAAGTGAAAACCACAGAGAGTTGCCCCCATCTCCCTGCACTCCAGGAAAAACAAGCTCCACCCAATGCCCTCTAATCATTCACAGGTCATTCACAGGCTAGGCCTCCTGCCTCTGCACACAGGGTCCTCGCAGAGCTTGGGTTCTGGTGAAAAAGGGAGAAGATGGGCAGAGCTGAAGAGAGACACAGCAAGGCAGTCCTGTGGCTCCTGCGTATGGTCAGCCTCTAAGCCCTTCCAAGTCTGACCTGTCCCCAAAGTGCCAGGAATGGACTGAACACCTGGAATTCAATGGCTCTGAAGATGCCAGCCTGGGGCTCTGCAACATGGGATCATGGGATTCAGGGGCAGCTCTGGGGACACCTTGGGCACACATCCACAGCAAAGATAGATATATTACCAGATATGGCACCACACCCTCATAAGTAGTCACAAAGTTCAAGGCTGGCCTGAGCTACCCATTAAAACCCTGTTCAAGCCGGGCGGTGGTGGCGCACACCTTTAATCCCAGCACTCGGGAGGCAGAGGCAGGCGGATCTCTGTGAGTTCGAGACCAGCCTGGTCTACAAGAGCTAGTTCCAGGACAGGCTCCAAAGCTACAGAGAAACCCTGTCTCGAAAAACAAAAAAAAAACAAAACAAAAAAAAAAACCAAAAAAAAACCCTGTTCAAAAAAACCAGGGGGAGGGGTGGAATCTGTGGTCAAATGTTTACTTAGCATGCACAGACTCTGGTTTAAGTCCCAGCACCACACCCAAATAATAATAAATACAATTAAGTGGAAATATGGTCAATGCATATCATATTACTGTTATAGTGCTGCCCATTTGCCCGAGTACAGGGCAACTGAAGTTTGTAGAAACAGAATGAGAAAGATGGGGGAAAAAAAAGGGCTCTTTTTTTTTTTTTTGTGACAGGAAATGTAAAAGCTGGAAAAGACAGGAAGAGGTGGCGACTGTGAACCACTTTGGGAGGTGAGAGGAGACTCACAGCGAGTTTAGAGACCAGTGAAGGCTACGTGTAAAAGACCATCTCAAAGGGGAGGGGCGGTGAGAGATGGAGGAGGGAGGGGACAGAGAAAGCCTGGTATCAGGAGAAGCCCCGCACTGGGATCTATGACAGCCTCCCTCAGGTGCCAAGTGCAGATCAAGCGGCTCTCTCTGCCTCATCTCTGTTCACACGCCATGTTCTCCTGTGCCCTCTCGTGCCCATGAACTACAGGAATGAGACACATGGAGGAAAGGGCCGCACAGCAGTCAACCCAGGAGACTCACTGGCCTGACGCTGCTCTCCTCCACCTGTCTGCCTGCAGCACAATCTCAAGGACTTCTGGAGCTGAGCACACCTGGACATAATGGACAAGCCCAAACCTCATGCCCTAATCTCAGCCTCTCGGAACAAGCTGCTAGCCCCTGACCTCTGGCTGCAGAGGGCAGATGCCCAGGGGGAATCAGTACTCTCCACTGCCCACAGGGGATGGCAGACAAATGTTGGGCTCCTGAAGGCTAATCTGTATATGAGACCCAAGCTCCTGCTTCCCCAGATCTCAGCCCAGAGCAGCCAGTCTTCTTCCTGACCTCTTCCACTATGGATGAGACCCAGGGTGTATGACATGGTAGCTCAGAAGGCTTTTTTTTCCCTACTGCAACAGCAGTAGAACCCTGAAACCATAGCAACAATGGGAAGAGTGGTTTGTCTCTGCTAGGTGGCCTCTGGCCTCGGAGCACTGGCTACTTCATGGATTGCGCACCAAATGTTCCCACAAGGCTCGAGGAAGAGCAGCAGTGATGCTTGGACCTTTCTCTGCTCTGAGCAACACCACCAAGTCTGATGTCTGATGTCAGTATGTGAAAGGCCACGCTCCAATTCTGTAACAAGCTCATTCATGTCCCTGTCCTGGAGGGCAGAGCTGGTACTCACCCTGGCCCGTCTGACAGCGGCGGCCACTCTCAAAGGAGAAGAGGTTGGAGTCATAGCCATAGCGCCGCAGGCAGAGGTAGGGCCAGCGGACAGCGTCCCGCTGGTGCAGGTGCAGCACCAGCTCACTCTGGGTCAGCTCCATCACCCCTGAGCCCAGCTCCACCCCTTCATCGTCCACATTAGTCACCTGCAGGGAGAATGGACACAGGGTCAGTAAAGAAACCAAGAAGTGTATGCAAGGGACCCCGAGCCACTGGGAGACAGTGACTGTGGGGTTAGGGCCAGGAGACTGAGTGGCTCTCAGCTGTACCACAGGAACACTGCCCCCTTGGGTCACATAGAGCAGTGCCATGGGGCATGACAGTTCGATGGGGTAATCTCTTCTATGGCTCTCAGCTCTGATATCTGCAGACAGGAAAGAGGTCACCTGTTGACCTCCAAGGCCAGGTGGTTAGCTGTCTGATGCTCAAGAACTTCCTGGGGCTTAATTTCAAAGGCCAGGATGTCAACAAAGAAGGGGTTAATCGTTAATTCAAAGTTGAAAGACTTGTTGAGCAGATACAGCCACCCTCCAATCCCCAAACTGTACAAACTTGCTGAGGGCTCCCTCTCTACTTGGGAAGGAGAAACACTGGCCCTGACAAACCCCAGTGTGAGGAGAAGGCGCCTCCTATGGGATGTAGGGAGCTAAGGTTCATAAAACACCAATATAGTGTTTCTTCAGGGCTATGTATGCTCTCTTTAAAACATATTATTCTTGGTGGGAAGGGGGTGGGAGGAAAAGAACAACCAGAAATAAAAAAAAAAGGGTTAGGTTCCCCTGCCAGACCACCTCAGACATCAGAGAGCAAGCACAAGGCACCTTACTGAGTCTACACCATAGCCTGTCATTTCTCCTTCCCGAGAGATACTGGAGGCCTAAACTCAACAGGCCCTAGGAACTCGAGCAGGGAGAGGCTTTGGGTACCTTGAACTTGGTAGGGTGGTTGTGTGGCACATTGTCTCTGTCCAGGCAGCTACAGCAGCTCCCCATGGTGTCAGAGCAGCCTTTCCACCCTAGGGACAGACAAGGGATGAGCAGGTCACCAGTCACCCTGCCAAGGAGCTCTGAGCAGACACTGCACTGTGAGAACGTCCTCCAGCCAAGAGGCTGCAGGACACAGACACACGCTGAGGGAATGCTCTCTCAACCTATGGTCAAACTGAGGGAATGCTCTCTCAACCCGTGGTCAAACATGCTTGGGATAAACATTAATTCAAGTTAGAATGAGTGAAGGACTCCTACAGGCAGGGGATAGCAAGCTTCTCAGAGGCCTGGGAAGCACACAGGGGTCTGGCCTATGGAGTGACTGACTGGAAGAGCAGCATGGCTATAAGGGGCATGGGAGTGGCTGTCACAGCTGTGGTCCTCATCTGGAGTCAGCAAACGGTGTCCCTTGCGTGTCGCAGATACTATCTTTTTTTTTTTTTTTTTTTTTTTTTTTTTAAATATTTATTTATTTATTTATTTATTTATTTATTATGTATACAATATTCTGTCTGTGGTGCAGGCCAGAAGAGGGCACCAGACCTCATTACAGATGGTTGTGACCCACCATGTGGTTGCTGGGAATTGAACTCAGGACCTTTGGAAGAGCAGGCAATGCTCTTAACCTCTGAGCCATCTCTCCAGCCCCCGCAGATACTATCTTGTTCCTTTTTCTTTCCCTCATTTTTCACCTTACCCATTTCACTCCAGCCATGTTCTCTCTTTCCTCCCTTGCTCCACCCTAATATCTACCAGAAATGAGTATTTCTGGTGTTCTCTTCAAGTAAACTGTTAGTACACTGTGATCATAAGACCCAACAATCCAGGCGGTGGCGCACATCTTTAATCCCAGCACTTGGGAGGCAGAGGCAGGCAGGCAGCCTGGTCCACAGAGAGAGAGCCAGGACAGCTGGGGCTACACAGAGAAACCCTGTCTTGAAAAAACCAAAAACCAAATGGAAACAAAACAACAAAAAAGGCAAACCCACACTTAATGACCGAACACTGGAACTCACAGAGATCTTCTTGTCTCGGCTTCCAAGTGCTGGGAGTAAAAATACTACCAGGCTGGGCTCAAACTAGCATGATTTTTAAAAAAAACCTTGGTTAAAATTTTCTTCATTGAAGAAGAAAAATGCTGGGGCTGAGCATGTAGCTCAGCAGTAGATATTTCCTATGAGGCTCCAGACTGAACTCCCAGCATTCCACGAAAGCAACTCACAGAAGGCCGGGTTGCCTTCCCAAAGGTCGGAGCAGAGATAGGAGACCTTAGCAGGCTTTTCCCTTCAGGCTACTGATAATGGGAAGACAGTCACAACAGACAGATTTCTGCCTTACTACAGAGAGGAAACCACTTAGACCTCTGTGACCTAAGGGAACAAGACACAAACGGACAGAACCCAAACAGAGGTTTTGTTCTTCGTGCTGGAAATCCAATGTAGTGCTTTGTGCTCGCTACGCGAGCGCTCTGCTGCCCAGCTACACTCCTAGGCCCAGCCAGCAGTGCTTTTTATCTTTATTTTTGATTTTTCGAGACAGGGAATCTCTGTAGCTTTAGAGCCTGTCCTGGAACAAGCTCTTGTAGATCAGGCTGACCTCAAACTCATAGAGATACACCTGCCTCTGCCTACCAAATGCTGGGATTAAAGGCATGTGCCACCACCACCCGGCCCAGCCAGCAGTTTTAAGAGGTTCGTTCACTTTACTGTGAAAAACCACAAGGTAGTGGATTATCCAGGAACCTCTGTTGCTGTGGTAGAACCTTTGACAATCCAGTGACCTGTTCCCTATATTCCTCCCGAGTTAAGAAACTTTACAAAACTGACACCTAGCCGCAGTTCTTACCTCACCCAGGCCATTGGGGAGCTGACCCTGGGAGGGGCATGGGAAAGGATTCCCACTTCACTCCCCCCGTCCTTGGAGGGGTGTCATGGCAAAGCGTCTGCAGAAAATCACCTGGATCCCTGTGGTTCACACCTGGGGCTCACCTAGCACAGGAGACAGAGACCATATGTTAATGGAAACCTACCCTCAGCCCCCAACTCTTCATGAAACGGACTTAGCAGTGTCTCCCACCTGGATTTATCTGGGCCAGGTCCTAGTGGATCCTGGGTCCAGCTAGAAAGACCAATGAACACAACACGATCTCAGACGAAAGGCCACAACTTTGTAGCCCTGGATGGACCTCCCTATGACCAAGGACAATGAACTCTGAGATGCCCAACACCTCCAGCTGGCAGCCATCACTGGCGTCCCCTCGGAGTCCTGCCGCTCAGACCACCACCTGACCTTGCAGAGAATTTCAAGCCTACGAAAAGTTTTCTTTCTCAGAACAACAACATGCTAGTTCAGCAAGAGCACCAGTTTCAGATTCTGAAAACCAACATTCTAGAACGTTTTGTTGCTATATCTGGGGGAGGGTCTGTCATTCTCCCTCCACCATCTCCAACTCCTGACCCTTCCCCTTTTCTGAGGAAATACCAGGGAGTTCTAGCTGAAGTAACTTCTAGAAGCAGGTATTAGTGAAGCACTTCCCATTTGAAAGCTGGTCAGGCTTTCTGTTCCTAGTGTCAGAAGGGACAGTTACAACAAGATGCAAATTTTCAGATTATCTGAGCCCTAGGTAGATGAATCAACAAGCCAGGACTCTGAAGAAAATTCCTGAAATCCCTCCCTCCCGGTCCAGGAAAACAGCACTTCCCAGTGTCCCCCCCACCAGCCCTGCACAACTCTAGGTAAAAGAACCCCACACCTCTTGGTCTGGTTAATTCTTTGGAAGGAGTAAGGAGGTTAAAGGAATTGTGTGCAGGCTAAAGGCAGGTACTGAAAAGACCATGGGAGCTTAAACCATCAACAGGGTGTTGGGAAGGGATGTGAAGCCAAGAGCTACTGGATGCAAGATGGGGGAGGGGTTGCACCTTTCCCACTCCCCTCTTTTTCTTTGAGATTTCAAACACATTTTTAGATAATCCATTGAGAGGATTACATTGGGTGGGGTGGGGGTGGGGTTTCTGGTCTGAGGTAGGTAGGGACAGGCACTAGATGGAGGTACGTGGTCTGAAAATATATTCGAAGCCTTGGAAGAAGATGGGCTTGGGAGATTCTGGATTTGGGCATGGTGCAGAAATGAAAAGGCTGAGGGATTTCTGGATGGTGACTGCGGAAGCCTGTGGGCCACTGAAGGGAGAACGAGATGTGTCGGTGGGTATTTCAAGAGGTTGGGTGGGTGAGTGAGGGGGTTCTGCGGGATCCTAGAGACCCGAAGGTGTAACCACGGGGAGGGGAGAGGGTGGGGTCTGGGGAGCGAGAGGCAGAACTGGTTACAGGTTTTCTAGATACCCAGACGGAATGCGGAGGTCGCAGTCGCGCTCCAAGCCTGCATCCCCGCCCCCAGCCCCCGGGTCCGCCGCTAGCTCGCCCGCTTGGGGCTTTCTAAGGATAGGAGCGGAGACTGCGGCGCGGCGCGACACGGCCTCGGTAGAGCCGCCTGGTCCCCGCCCCGCCGCGCCCCGACTCACATCGCCCCGCGGCCCGGGCGGCGCCGGGCCCCCGCTCCCGGGTCCCGCTGCAGCAGCCGCCGCCCGCCCGCAGCTAAGGCCTCCCCGCCCCGCCCCGCGCCCGCGGGGTCGGAGGTCGCGGGCTGCACCAACGAGACGCTGCGGGCCGGCCGACCCGAGCGGGGGCAACCGGCAGGCAGCCTAGAAGGTCCCTTTGGAGGACTTTGCAGTCGGGGGCAGAGAGCATGCGCAGACGCCAGAGGGCGCTCGGGGCCGGTGGCTGGGAATCCTGAGGGGCGTGGCCTGTCTTGAGAGGGGCCCGGCCCGGCGCGGCGTGGGGCGGGGAAGCAGAGATGTCAGCAGTCTCTCTAGCAGAAGAGAATCTCGAGAGAGAGCAGAGCGGATCGGAGAACTGAAGCGGGACAGGATTCAGAATCCAGGAGGGAAAGTAGCGAGGGATACTGGGGACAGAGGGGAGGAGCTGGAGAGGCCCGCAGAGGGGAGAGGCTGAAGCCGGGGGCGGGCCGAGAGACTCTAGACCTTTCGGGCTTCGCGGTGGCGCTTCGCGTAGCCAAGTCCGCGGATGCCTGCGCCCTTCCCGCCCTGAGACCCACGAGCGCTTCCCTCAGTCTGCAGCACCGCACCCAGTTCGGGGCCACTGGGGGCGTGGCCCGACGGCGGGTCTCACCAGAACAGCCCGGGCGGCTGAGACCCCACTCCTAAATCAGCAGCTAGACAGGGACCCCAAGCGAACTCGGTAAGCACACGTCGAGCTTCCGCCCTGCGGGTGGTCCGCAAAGTCCTAGGAAAACTTTGGGGCTCTGCCGAGAGGCCACTTGATAGGAACGTATATTTCCCTCCCTTTTCCCTCTGGTTCAGGGATACCTTTCCACTCTACTGCTCTCTAGTGCCTAGGACCTCTGGGGCTCATCCTTCCAAGAATGGGTGTTGTTTGGGGAGGTTGAACCCCTGAGCTAGCTTGCATCTGGGGCTAGAGGCGGGAGTCAGTGTTTGACCCGATCTTATCTGAAAGGAGAGGAAGGGGAACTATGGGAGGAAACCAGCGTGTTAGTAAGATGGGGTCCAATGGTAGCTGGAGGTGAATCAGGTTGCTCGGAGGTGGGGGACAGGAAGGGTGACGGGTAGAAGTCTGATTTCTGAGAGTTATTTTTGTGCCAGAGAGTTCCATGCAAACTAGAACTAATCCGGAAGAGGGTACTCCAGAAACCCCCTCCCCCCTTGTTTTGTGGAGCTGAAGCAGTGCTGCTAAGGGGTGTGGCTGTTCCTACCCCTGAGTGTGGAGTCCATCCTGGCCACCTTCCACAGGAAACCTGCCCTGAGGGACTGACAGGAAGGAAACAGGTGGGTGTGGAGCCAGGAAGGGGGAAGGGTGGCACTGGATATTTGTAGGGGGACTGGGGGGGTCCATGGGGTTGGGTGGTGCTCTGGTGGTTATACATGGAACCTCAGGACTTCCCAAAGCCTAGAGATTCACTGTTGGTTCTCCTGAGCTCAGCTGCTGCCCTGAGGTAGGGTACCTCCTAAAACTCCCGGAACTTGGTAGTTTGCTCATTGGTCAATGGTTTGGTTGGTTTTTCAACTGTAAAAGCGTAGAAGAAACTGCTTCAATGGACGGTAAGAATGGACCTATTATATAAAGTTCTAGAATAGTCGCGAACACTGAATAAACTTGTAAATGTCTGCTCCGGCTGTCACCATCCCACACAACCCAGCCCTCCACCCAGAATACAGGTGCATGAACCCTATTTTCTCTGGTTCCCGCTCACTAGCCTGTGACCACATCCAGAGCAGCGCCCATCTTTTCTCTGCATCAGCAGTTAGTCCCGCCCAAAGACACCGCGATCCCATTTCGACTGTGCCTAAAGAAGTGCACTGGGACTAGATATTAAAATTGCTGCTATAAAGTGGGGTGTGGTGGTGCATGGTTTGGATCTCTGCACTTTGGAGGTTGAGGCAGGAGGATCAGGAGTCCAAGGCCAGCCTTGGCTCTGAGACCCTGTTTCATGCTGCTATAAGGACAGGAAGTATAGCTTGGTGGAAGAGGGCTTGTCTGGTTTGTGAAGGGCTATAGGGTAGACACAAAATTTTCTTGTACCCTTGAGGCATTTAGACTAGTGAGGAGACACTGGGTACTAATTTGGAGCCACTGACTATGCTTCCTTGGAGAACTCAGGAAGGGAGAACTGGTACAGGCCAGAGAAGATGAGGAGGATTCCTGGCAAGGAGGCCTTCAGTCAGGCTCCACAAGGGCAATGCTGGAAAAGAACAGCCTGAGTAGGGTGTAGTGAGGAGACAGGTGTTTGTGGGGTGACTGAGGAACAGCCTGGGTAGGGTATAGTGAGGAGACAGGTGTTTGTGGGGTGACTGAGGAACAGCCTGGGTAGGGTGTAGTGAGGAGACAGGTGTGTGTGTGTGTGGTGACTGAGGAACAGCCTGGGTAGGGTGTAGTGAGGAGACAGGTGTGTGTGGGGTGACTGAGGAACAGCCTGGGTAGGGTGTAGTGCGGAGACAGGTGTGTGTGTGTGTGGTGACTGAGGAACAGCCTGGGTAGGGTGTAATGGGGAGACAGGTGTGTGTGGGGTGACTGAGGAACAGCCTGGGTAGGGTGTAGTGAGGAGACAGGTGTGTGTGGGGTGACTGAGGAACAGCCTGGGTAGGGTGTAGTGGGGAGACAGGTGTGTGTGTGTGTGGTGACTGAGGAACAGCCTGGGTAGGGTGTAGTGGGGAGACAGGTGTGTGTGTGTGTGTGGTGACTGAGGAACAGCCTGGGTAGGGTGTAGTGAGGAGACAGGTGTGTGTGGGGTGACTGAGGAACAGCCTGGGTAGGGTGTAGTGCGGAGACAGGTGTGTGTGTGGGGGGTGACTGAGGAACAGCCTGGGTAGGGTGTAGTGAGGAGACAGGTGTGTGTGGGGTGACTGAGGAACAGCCTGGGTAGGGTGTAGTGAGGAGACAGGTGTGTGTGTGTGTGGTGACTGAGGAACAGCCTGGGTAGGGTGTAGTGAGGAGACAGGTGTGTGTGTGGGGTGACTGAGGAACAGCCTGGGTAGGGTGTAGTGGGGAGACAGGTGTGTGTGTGTGTGGTGACTGAGGAATAGCCTGGGTAGGGTGTAGTGCGGAGACAGGTGTGTGTGGGGTGACTGAGGAACAGCCTGGGTAGGGTGTAGTGAGGAGACAGGTGTGTGTGGGGTGACTGAGGAACAGCCTGGGTAGGGTGTAGTGAGGAGACAGGTGTGTGTGTGGTGACTGAGGAACAGCCTGGGTAGGGTGTAGTGCGGAGACAGGTGTGTGTGTGTGTGTGGTGACTGAGGAACAGCCTGGGTAGGGTGTAATGGGGAGACAGGTGTGTGTGGGGTGACTGAGGAACAGCCTGGGTAGGGTGTAGTGAGGAGACAGGTGTGTGTGGGGTGACTGAGGAACAGCCTGGGTAGGGTGTAGTGAGGAGACAGGTGTGTGTGGGGTGACTGAGGAACAGCCTGGGTAGGGTGTAGTGAGGAGACAGGTGTGTGTGGGGTGACTGAGGAACAGCCTGGGTAGGGTGTAGTGAGGAGACAGGTGTGTGTGGGGTGACTGAGGAACAGCCTGGGTAGGGTGTAATGGGGAGACAGGTGTGTGTGGGGTGACTGAGGAACAGCCTGGGTAGGGTGTAGTGAGGAGACAGGTGTGTGTGTGGGGGGTGACTGAGGAACAGCGTGGGTAGGGTGTAGTGCGGAGATGGGTATGTGTGGTGAGCTGCATTGAGGGACCTTGGGAAGACTGGCAAGGTGAGTAGGAGAGCTCTAGCCTGCCCAGAGGCTCATGGGAGAGCAGAATGGTTCCTTCCATGGTTGCTTTCTCTTCTACACCACCCAGCTTTGTAATATCCAAGAATTTGAACTTCACAAGCTCAGGGGCTAAAGATCTGACTTTGCCACTTACAGCTGTTTGACCTTGGATACACACACACACACACACACACACAAACACACAAACACACCAGTGCTGTCTGAGCCCCAGCCTGGCTGCCTGTAAGCTGGGAACAACGCCTACCTCAGTCTCCTGGCTGTTGACAGGACTGAGATGGCACTTGGAAAGCACTTGACATTGCCTGGCATGCTGGGAAGGCTCACTGAACGAGCTGATCTTCTGTCTTTTCCAGGCAGACTGTCGGTCACCAGTGTCAGCTCAGAATTGACTGGTCCCTCCAGCAGGACAGTTCTATGTTCAGGGAGCCAGATCCACCAGTTAACTCAGACAGTGGTGCAGGCCAGCAGCCAGTAGAGGGCGATGAGGACACCTCTGTTCAGGTAGGAGTCCCACTCTTTCTGAGACCACCATGTTCTCATCCTCTGGCCCTCGTTCCCCTCCTACCAACCAGGAGATGTTTGCATTTTTCTTTCCGTGCAAACAAAATCAAGCCTTTATTAGCCAGGTGTGGTGGGCACACCTTTAGTCTTAGCACCCAGGAGAACCCAGGAGGCAGACGCAGGCAGATCTCTGAGTACAAGGCCAGCCTGGTCTATGGATGAGTATCAAGTTCTAGGCCACTCGGGGCTGCAGAAACACACCCTGTCTCAAACAAAACCAAACCCGAAGTTTGTTAAATATTTACTCAGTGTGTGTGTGTGTTGTGAACCACAACACATGTGGAGGTCAGAGGACAACCTGTGGGAAGTCAGTCTTCCACCATGAGGATCCAGAGAATCAAACCCAGGCTTGGTGTTGAGTGCCTTTATGTGCTGAGCCATTTTGCTATCCCAGGTCCTCTGTCCCCCACTTTGAGGTAAGACTTTGTCATGTAACTCTTGAACTTTGTCCTATCTCAGCCTCCCAGTGGGTGGGGCTGCACAGCCTGGCTCTAGGAGTGTGCAATTGTGGGGCTTCCAGTATATGGAGTGGTGTTTGGGGGCTCCTTCCAGTATACGGAGTGGTGTTTGGGGGCTCCTTCCAGTATACGGAGTGGTGTTTGGGGGCTCCTTCCAGTATACGGAGTGGTGTTTGGGGGCTCCTTCCAGTATATGGAGTGGTGTTTGGGGGCTCCTTCCAGTATATGGAGTGGTGTTTGGGGGCTCCTTCCAGGCAGGTCTCGGATCAGGAGTGGACCTACTGTTCACTCTGTAGAAGAGGCTTGAAGTTAGGGAGATCCGCCTGCCTCTGCCTCCCGACTGCTGGGACTAAAGGCGTGTGCCACCATGCCAGACAGATCTACTATTCTTAGTGACGGGCAGGAGGGGGTTTCCTCCAAGTGGAGAGGAATGCTTAGGAGTTGCTGTAGATTGGAGGGCAGGTGATAAGGGGAAGGGAAGGGAGGGGAGGAGAGGGGAAGACCCAGCCCCCTTCTCCTGTGCCTCCTCAGGCTCCTCCAGGATCGAGCTTGGGCCCACCTTGCCTGGATACCAACCAAGCCTCAAGCTGGCCTCAGTTTCGGACCCTCCTGCAGCAGTTTCCTCCACAGGACAGTGACGTGGGTCCCCCCCTCGGATTCCCCTCGCTCCTCCTTCGCTCCCTCTCCACACCTTGTTATTTACTGTGTAGTAAGAGTCTTGATCTAGAATTCAAGACGTATGACTAAAAGGCTCAGTTTTGCCCGTAGCTGGAGGAAGCAATTCCCTTTAGCTTGAATTCCACAGCTAATGACAGACAGGTGCAGGAATACATGTCCTGCGCATCACAAGGCTTAGCTTAAGAGCAAATGGGAAAATGGACATGAACGGCATCTGCAACCAAGAATGGGATGCACGAATGTAGAAATGTGGTTGTTCAGTATTTATTGAGGGCCCCAGCATGTGCAGCCTAAAGACTTACAATTCACCGAGAGGCAAGACAGTCTATGGAGCAGAGAACACATGTGAAAGGGATTCTGGGACCTAACTCAATGGGAACAAGGGCCACACTATGTGATGATGGTGCTAAGTGCTACCCGGTGCAGCCCCGAGTGACGGTGCAGCCCCGAGTGCCGGCCGTCTCCGCGGGAGCACATGCGCCATTCCCTCCCAAGGCTCTCCCTCTCTCCCAGCCAGCATCAACCTTAGAGAACATGTCACTCCAGCAGTGTTCTAAGGTTTGGGTGCATGTGGGCCTTTCCTTTAGGAGCGCTACTGTCTGGCCCTAGGGGAGGAGGAACTGACCCAACTGCGGCTCTTCTGTGCCCAGCGGAAGCAGAAATCCATGGGACAGGGGGTGGCCCGCTTGTTACCTCCCAAACTTGAAGGATACACCTGTGAGAAGGTAGGGAGTATGTCTGTTCCTTCTCCATCCCTGAGCCTTTCCCTTCCTCAGCCCTTTGCTCTGCAGAAAGGGTTGGGCGGAGTTTAGCGGAGAAATGTTTTCAGGATTGGTGATTTGGTAAATGTTAGGGAAAGGAGGAAGCCAGGTTTGGGGAGTTGACTTCTGCGGTGGAGATGAGCCTGCAGCATAATATGAACAGCCAGATTGGGGGATTGGGGATGTGGTTGGAGAGCCATGAACGAAGCTAAGAAGGTTCAGGTTAAGAGCCCAGGGCCTCTGCTTTGGCAGTGCAAGAAGCTGCTGAATCCAGGAGAGTACGGAGTGTTTGCGGCCAGGGCTGGTGAGCGGTGCTGTTGGCACAGATCCTGTTTTACTTGCCAGGCCTGTGGGCAGGCCCTGATAAACCTCATCTACTTTTACCACGATGGGCATCTCTACTGTGGCCGCCATCACGCAGAGCTACTGCGACCTCGATGTCCCGCTTGTGACCAGGTAGAGCAAAAGGGGAGAGAGACACTGGGAGAATTCCTCCCCAGAGCCAGCAATGCTGGAGCAGCTGTCACCTTCATAGGCTGGAGGGTCTTGTAGTAGAAGTGGAGAACAGGGTGGAGAGAATGAGGAACTAGCCAGGGCCACTCAAGAGCTCTGCGCACGTGGGACCTTTACCTCTGCTCCCCCAGTGCAAACAGGGGTCTGTAAATTCTCTTGGACTCAGAACGTTTCTGGACTCCTGAATCATCATTATGCCAGATGCTCAGTGCTGAGCTTGACCATGCTAGAAAGACGCTAACAACATGAAAGACATGGAGCCTTGGGAGTCAGGAAAGCTCTGGGGCCCAACTTCTGGCTATGCCACCTGCTACATGGAGGATCCGGCCAAAGCCAGTCACCCTCCCAGAATCCTAGAGTTACAAAGTACTCCAAATCGGAATGCCTGTGGGCATTTTTTTTTTGAGCGTTAATGGGTATAAGGTGTGGTTACTGGATGGATGGATGGATGGATGGATGGATGGATGAACGAATCAATCGTTTTCCTCAACCTCTCCCAGCTGATCTTCTCTCAGAGCTGTACCGAGGCAGAAGGACAGCGCTGGCACGAGAACCACTTCTGCTGCCAAGACTGCGCCGGGCCTCTGGGTGCAGGACGTTATGCCCTGCCCGGGGGCAGCCCCTGCTGCCCCAGCTGCTTCGGGAGCCGCTACCGGAGTGCAGATTCTAGCTCAGTAGAGGCACTGGAAGGGCTAGCGTCCCTTGGTAAAGGAGGGGACGGTGCGATCTTAAGGGGGAGGGGCCGGCGGCTTAGGCTGATCATAGAAGCGGGGAATCTCCCGGGCCAGAACCCTTCGTCCCATTCCCCATGCTGTCTTCCCACCGCAACCCCCAGACGCGAGCTTTGGGGCCCGAAGCTCTCACCGCGCGTCCCTGGCCTGCGCGCTCCGAAGGCCTCCTGAACCCTCCCGGCGGGGCTGCGGCGGCAAACTCGCTCCCGGGCTGGGGACGCGGTCGCCCACTGGTGGACGGAGGCGGGGGCCCTTGGGGTAGACTGGCGGCAGCGGCGGCGCGCACGGCACCAGCCTGGGGCGGGGCGGGAGGCTGCACGCAACCTTGGTCCGCCTTTTGCACAAAGATTTGGGGGCTCTGAGATGGGCATTTCTAACAGGGGAAACAGAACCCGATCCAAGCGTCGGCTGGAACGGTGCCTCCTCGGATGACAAGATCACCTCCCAAGTTACACTTCCCTCTACAGTAGCCAGCTCCACTCTGGAAACCCCGAGTGGGGCGTTCAAAGGGCAGGGCCGAGAGCGCCCTAAGACTCCCGGAAACGCCCAAGAGCACAGCCCCTGCCCCACCTGCTCCTCTTCCTCTGAGTCGGAACCCGAAGGCTTTTTCTTGGGCCAGCGCCTTCCAGGTCCCTGGAAGTCCTCCCCAAACCTCCAGACAGATGACAGAGACATCTCCAGGAAGCACTGCACCATTTGTTAGTGGGGCAGCCCGGAGAGCAGAGTAGTGAGATGGGGGAACCTATGAAACAGGATAACAAAGACTGCAGTGTAAAGAACCCGAGACTGATGGCAGGCAGACACGCGGGACAGTCCCATCCACACTGCACGTTCTCTAACCTGTAGAAAAGTTTCTTGGGGAAACACCACTGCCCAGAGCTTCCTGGGTGAGCTAGCCCCTATCCCCAAGGGCTGAGTTTAGCCCCACCGTCAGCACCTTGCTTAAACTAATGGAATGGTGGCGCTACACGGGTAACACGCCCTAGGCACCGGGAGGTGGGGCAGCGAGCACCGGCTCCACCTCCGACCTGGGTTCCAAGCTCGTGGAAGCAGCCGGGGGCGGGTCTTCTTGCATCTCACTACCGGTAGGCGGAAGTGCGGGATCGGAAGTTGCGCGATCAGCCAGCGCCGACTCTGAGCCGCGCACAGGCACTGTGGAAGTGCTCGGTGCTGTTATGGCTTCTAGTGGGATAGCAGTTAGCGCCTCCGGCTCGGCCAACGAGGCCCCCGAGGTTCCAGACAACGTGGGAGACTGGCTCCGCGGCGTCTATCGCTTCGCCACCGATCGGAACGATTTCCGGAGGTAACCGAGGCTGGCCCCTCTCTGATCCTCATAAACTTGTATTTCCCTTCCTTATGAGGCTGGCAATCCTAGGTGGGTTTTTTTTTTTTTTTTTGTTTTTTAACCACATTGACAACGTAGTGGTTTCGTGGTAACTTTCTGTGTTTTGTTGAGGCCGTAGGCTTGTAAAATGCGTTGCTGTCAAAAATATCTGCCACGTGCTTCTCAAGGTATCTAGAATGTCGACCTGGGCTGTAGCGATGGTTCAGCGGGTGGAAGCGTTTGCCGCCAAGCCTGAGGACTTGAGTTAGATCCCTGGTACCCGCAAGGTGAAGGGAGATAACCAACTCCTGTACTCTGATCTCCACACTTGCAGTGTCAACATGCAGTATCACACACATACAATTTAATGAATTTTTTTTTTTTTTATTTTCGAGACAGGGTTTCTCTGTAGCTTTGGAGCCTGTCCTGGATCTAGCTTTTGTAGATCAGGCTGGCCTCGAACTCACAGAGATCCGCCTGCCTCTGCCTCCCAAGTGCTGGGATTAAAGGTGTGCGCCACCACTGCCCGGCCTGAATGTATTATTTTTAAAAAGTCACCCTGACCTAGGAGGAGGGAAGAGATGCCAAGGCATAAATCGGAATTTTACGTTAGAGTGTTAAGTTGGCCTTTGCTTGTGTTAGGAATAAACTCGAAATTCTCACGTGCATATTGTGCGACGTATCACTATACCGAGTGTTGATCAAAACCTCCAGAAGGTGGTGTTGACGTAAACTTCCCATGGTATGTCATTAGCTCCATCAAACTCAGTGACCTCAGGGTTAATGAAATATATTTTCTACTTAGGAACTTGATCCTCAATTTGGGACTCTTTGCTGCGGGAGTTTGGCTGGCCAGGAACTTGAGTGACATTGATTTGATGGCACCTCAGCCAGGGGTGTAACCAAGTAAGCACTTAATTTTCTGTCTCTGCCTATTCCAGTTGTGAAAGACAGCAATTCTGTTCAGCTATTCACAGAAAGTAGGAGAGACCTGGTGTAAATCCTCACTCTTGGATTTCTAGGTGAAAGCAGTTTCCTTTTTGTTTTCCAGTTTCTAATACCATCTGTTATCTGGTTGCAGAGAATGGAATTGCTGTGTACTCAAACTTCCCACGACAGCCTACTGTCTAGGACCACCACAAGATACTACCCCCATGGCAGCTGAACCTCCACCCCCTGGGCAGCCCCCAGCTTCAGCTCAAATGTTGACTGCACAACTGTGTGTGCATCCCTACATTTCTGCAGAGGTGATCTCTGCCCTTGTCCCGAGAGGAGTAGTCATGGTTCTTGAAAACAGATTTCAAATAAAGCCTGCACACAAAGACGTTTTATTCTTTTAATAAGAAACTTCTTTCAAAACCACGGTGTAAAAAGTCAGTTTACAAACCCCCCCCCCAAAAAAAAACATGATTTGTGTTTCACACTCAAGAGACAGCAATGAGCCCCAAACATGAATTGTAATGGAGATGTTTGTCTCATTTAAAAGAGAAAATAGAAAAAAAAAAAAAACTTGAAAGGGAACCTCCTGCTCCACAGTGATAAAGCTGAACTGCACAGCTGACTCTCGAGGAGTTACTGCTGGTGAGCATTCCTGGGGAAGAAGCCATTAGATGTTGTTGGGCATTTTAGTTCACCAGGTGGGTTTTCCAGGAACCAGGGAGGCACTGTTTTTGGAATAGAGTGAGATTTGGTGGCAGAAGAGATGTGTGGGTGGAGTCAGCCTGTTAGTGGGCATAAGGAAGCAACTTCCTACCCCCAGACTTATGCTAGTACCACTGTCTGTGTTCTGTGGAGAGACTCCTGTGGCTTTGGGACAAGGTGGTGCTAGAAGTAGGCTCTCCAGAGTCTCATTTAGTCAAATTTACTGGCATTAAAAAAAAAAAAAATACTGCTTTTTTGTGCAAAGGCCCCTTTGTAACTGGTCTTGGATTACAGGGCGTGAATGAGAAGGGCCAGTGTAACCGGGCCACAGCTGCATGACGATGACAGAGTTACTGCTGGCTGCTTTCCAGAAACTCATGATGTGACTTCCAAATACCCACCGAAAGAAAGCGGGGGGGGGGGGGGGGGGGGGGAGTTTTTTTTTTTTTTTTTTTTTGAGGCAGGATATCTGCAGCCTAGGCTGGCCTCAGTTGAAGATGGCCTTGAACTCCTTATCTTGTTGCCTCCACAGCCGAGTGTGCTCTACCACAAACTCTGAGCCTCAGGCTTGCTAGGTAAGCACTGCACTGACTAAGCCATGTATGATACGGGCTGGGGATACTATTTTCTTGTGAATGAAGAACCTGTGTGATGTGATGCGGGCCAGCAGAAACTGAGTAATTTCAGGCCTAGAATTGGCTTCACATGAATCAAGATCCTAGAGTTTATTCTGAGTCACAGATACTCTGAAGTCTGTTTTAGAAACTATTAAGAGACTGGGCTTCATGGCACATACTTAATCCCAGAGGCATGTGGATCTCTGCGGCCAGCCTCGTCTAAATTCCAGGCTAACCAGGGCTACACAGTGAGACCATGCCTTGAAAAAAGGGGGGGGGGGCAGGATCATGACTATGAATACACGGATAAGGCTTGGGTTTGAAGTCATTACTTCCAAAGGCCCATAAAGTGATTAGGAAGCAGCTTTGTAAGCTGTATTATAGATGCAGAACCCCACATGACCACAGCTAAGCTAGGAAATAGCAGCCTGGTTTTGTTGTTTTGAAGAATAAAACCTTAAAGTGTGCTATATAATCCTATAGCTGAGTAGTCTAGTTAGTTAAAAAAAATTCTATTTTGAAAATCAGAATCTAGATTAAGACATAGCTTTTAAAAATATAGGTTTTTTTTTCATTCCAAATTTAAGATATAATCTCAAGTAACTTTACTCTTGCTTTTTGAAGTCATAACGCTGGTTTGGCAGTTTTTGTTTGAACTGGTTTACGTGACCTGGAACCCACTGTCTCAGGCATGCTAGCTAAGTGCCGTAGCAGTGAGCTATTTTGTCAGCAGCTGTTATATTTTTTTTTAAAAGTACATGTTTGTTTATTTATTTATGTATGTATGTATACAATATTCTGTCTGTGTGTATGCCTGCAGGCCAGAAGAGGGCACCAGACCCCATTACGGATGGTTGTGAGCCACCATGTGGTTGCTGGGAATTGAACTCAGGACCTTTGGAAGAGTAGGCAATGCTCTTAACCTCTGAGCCATCTCTCCAGCCCCCGCAGCTGTTGTATTTTAAAAGAAACATGCCAGCATAAGTATGGACAGAGTGAACAAAAGTGACCGCTTGCCCATAGCTACTAAGCTGTGGTGTAGTTAGAGCCATGTGTGAGTTGACAAGTAAATGGCGGTTAAAGGATAATCCTGGACTGAGAGCAGACAGGAATGTGGAAGAGATGACGTGCACAACCCTGAGAAGGCGCTTTAGCGCTGACAAAAAGAGAACCACCACTCTTAGCTGGTAAAAACCAAGTGTGACCCTGGAAAATTTCACCCCAAAGATGCACTCTTTACCTAATTAGTCCCAATTAGGAACTGGGCTGAGAGACCCAGTACCAAATGCACTTTGAATGGCGAGCCTGTCAACACCTTTGGGGAAGTCTCACGAGCTCAGCAGAAACCCTTGGGCTGGAGTGAAAGACAGGCTGTGAACAGCCCGACTCTTGCTAACCTTCCAGTCACTTAGCACCATCACAGCTGCATCTGCCCAGGAAGTCCTGAGAGTGGTGGTGTCAGGGACATCATTTTTGCATCACTCACTGTGCATATTACACAGTGTACTGGTTTGTTGTACAATCTAAAGGTTCACATGTGGGGGGATTTTTTCCTACACTGCTTCCTGATGGTTTGTGCAGAAGGACTCCAGAATTGATGAAGATTCCACTGCCACTGATTGCCTAACTTCTGATCATTTGGCTCTCCCAACTAGCTGGAAACCCTTCCACACATAAGCTGCAACCCCAGATAGGGATGTGGTACACATTCAGGAAAGGGTCACTTTCCAGAAAAGGTCAGCATTAATGTTCAGCATATACAAGAGGCAATGAACAACAGTAATGTATGTTGGCTGCCTTGAAAGACAGCTATCTGATGGAAGATTATAAATACAATTATGGACACTGGAACTCAAGAACTTGCTGGTAAGGACAATTTGCATTCATACACAGGAGATAACAATGTTCTATAAAATCTGATAGCACATACCCTTTAAACACTACAGATCCACCTGCCACTTGACATAACAAAAAGGAACCCTTCCCCTTAACTTTTCAATCTCATGCAAACTGTAATTAAGAACAAGGCACCAAATTTTATGAATTGTATAAAATTAGTTCACAAAGCTTTATCAGTAAAACAAATGTCAGATCTCCCTGGCTTCCCCCCATCCCCGCCACCATGTTTTCATTCTGCACTACTGTCGACCTCTCAGCACTCCGGAGCACTGCCAGCCAGCCCACCGCATTGGTTTGTCCCCTGAATGTGGATGGAGCTGAAGGCATAACCAGAGTAGGGGACTCACACGATCATGGACTCTAGAAGCCTTGCCACCGTGAACAAAAATAAACTCTGCTATCGAGTCCATAGGACACATGAACACTTCTACAGTTTACAGCTTTATTCATGGCATTTTTAGAGACATCTAGAAGTTCTTTACCATGTGGCACTGCCCTCCCATTTCAGCCAGAGGGGCTGGTTAAAGCTGGTAAAGCTGGCAAGAGCTCTGCCTGCCATTTGATGAGAGCTGCAGTTTCTGGCTGCCACGGGTATCCCTGCTACTTCTGCACTAGCATGGGTGCTGCTCTTAGAGGCAACCACAAGCATGAGGGCCAGGCTAGACTGAGGTAAGAAATCATTTTTGAGGGCTGGGGTGTATTCATCTTGGCTGGCTACAGTGGTAAGTAAACACACCAGCCGATTACAAAGGGTTCAGAGAGAGAGAGACTGCTGCTGGCAGAGCAGCACCTGGCATTTGGCCTGGGGCCAGCTAGTCAAAGTCTATCTGTTCTCTTCAGAATGTTTCAGTGTGATGCCAACTGACACAGCCCTCTTAGGCGCTGCAGGCAGCTGAGAGAGCGCAGCACAGCAAGGCAGCCCAGACAGTGCACAGTGCTTCTACAACAGAGATTCATGCTACTGCTCCTGCTGCCTGAAGTGCTGTCTGTGGTTGCGGTGGCACCTTCAAGAGGGTGGCTCAGTGGAGACAGCTAGTTTTAGTTAGAACTCATTTTAACTCATTAATCTCATATGTGGGTGTTCAGGTCAGCTAAACATTTATAAAGTTCCCATTCTGCTTACTGGTCTTGCTGACAGTTGATATAAAACTTTTTTTTTAAATTGAATTAGAACCTTCTAATTTTCCTTTAAGTGTTTATATTGATTAATGTTTTCCCCTCTAAACCAGTCAGATCTGTATTCTCTGCCTGCAAGTTCTCTTTCTAGAATAAATAACACAGGGTTTAAGATGAGGTGCAATCCAATCTTGTTTCCTTTTTTACTCCCAATAGTTTGTTATTTTCATTTTTCAGACAAGGTCTCACAATGTAGCCTCAAACTCATAATCCTCCTGCCTTACCCAAGCAAGTGCCGTCCTTCCAGGGGTGTACCAGCACACCGAGCTTTGTTTTTGAATGGGCTTTGCTACCATGGTAACAAATCACTATCATGTACCTTGGTAATGTGGACCTCAGGGTACAGCTTTATATCAGAACCTCAGGCAGCGTGGACAACCGGGACACTTTAAAACAGTGTCCTGGAGAGGAGGAGGCCGTGCAAAGCTCACAAAAAAGCCTGCAGTAGACAGTAAAAACCAAACAGCACAAAAATGCCATACATTATCGCTTCCAAATAAAAGCTAATACAGAAACCTCACAGTGTTGTAAAACAAGTTTAAATCTAGCCACCCATCCCTGTCAGGGAGCTGTTTTCTGTCTGATTTCTTCCATGTCTCAGTGATGTCTGGCAGGCCTACGAGAGTTCATCTCCAATGAGGGCAGCAGTAAATACTACGGGTGTGCCTGGGAAATGGAACAGTGCGTCCTTTAGCCTCACTGTCTCTGTGCCCCACCCCTTCAACTCCCTTCAAGTGACAACTGTACTACATTAACACAAGCTACTTATTCACAGGAGAGGCTGTGGGCACTGCACAGGTCACTGCAGAGAGAATGAGAGTTTACTGTGCTTCTGTCTGGGCATTTGACTCCATTTAGAAATGGAGCAAATTTTAAAGATGTGTTTTTACTAATAGCAGAGTAAAAGACAGAAGTCTCTCTACTGCATGGACTGAGGGCAGGAGAGAATGGGTAGCAGAGTGGGAAGAGAACATGAAAGGCCACAACCAAGAGCTGGACACATGGTCAGTTCCTAGGGAAGCGAAAGCTCCAAACCTTGTGAGCACCAATGTTGTAGGTGCAGGAGAGAAGCTACATAGCACACAAGGTGAGACCCTAGGGCAGCAGGCACTGGGACAATCCCCACTCGCCTTCCCGAATTCTGAGAAGGCTTCTGACCACTGACCCAAACCACAAGCTGGTTCCAGACCTGAGCCAGGGTCCTGCTACAGGACTGGAGGAGTCAGGAGTGTCCGGCTTAACATGCGCAGACCGACCATGCGCTGGTCTGTGCCTCCTATGACTGCCTCTTCAAAGGGAAAGGGCTGCTAGGCCCCATCTCCCAGTCAGTGTAGAGTGAGATGACAGCACCTCAGGAGAAGCCTAGCTCTAAAAAGCCTTCCTATTTGGCACAGGGAGATCTGCTCTATGCCCCTTACTCCCTTGATGGTCACCTCTTCTGTGAGATAAATCCTGTGGCTTTACCTTCCACTTGGAACCAATCTTTCCCACCAGCTGCCAGCCCTGGGCCCCTCCTCATGTGCTCTGTGCAATGCTGCAGAAAGATCCTGATTAGTAGGGGGCTCACGACAGAGAGAAGACAGACATGGCTGCTCTCCTGGCTGGGTGATCACTTGCCCACCCCCCTCCAGGTCCCTCAATTATCCAGAAGCAACTGACAAAAGAATCTTCATAGAAGTTACTCCTTTAGATTTGTTTTATGAAAGGAGGGAATTTTAAAATGTTTTCAAAAGTGACTACCAATTTTTTGACAGGGCAGAAATCACCTGGCATTCTCTCCTTTAGGCCTAGAGAGGCAAGCCCAGTGATCTGTTACTGTGCAAGCCTTATTACCCATGAGGAAAAAGGTAAGGACATTTTAATGCATGCCTCCCAGTCAGGGGAGCGTGTATGTTCTGCCTTCGACCTTGCTGCTGGACTGCACCTGAGCTCGGAGTTGGGTTTCTGAGAGTCTTGCGCTGCCCTGAACTGTTCTTCGAGTGTAAAAAAGGATGTAGGCCTGGGTTTTGCACACGTCCTCTACACTGCATACATCCAGCTTTGAGTCATTGCAGTGGACCCAAAAACCTAGGAAACCAAAAGAGAGAAAGAGAAAATGACAAGCTAGTTTACATCTCTAGACAGGTGCTGCCAGGAGATGGGGAGAGAATGCGGGGGGCAGAGCCACCTTCTGATTACTGGTGGGGAGGCAGGGTCACTGTAATCCCTTTCACCCCACTATCACCAAAAAGACTCTTGCCTTCGGTACTGATGGACCAATTTTGTCCTTGTTTCCTTTATCTCTTTTTATTGTCTGCTAAAGCCTCCACAGTGCCCCAAATGTTCTCAGAGTCATTTGAGTGAGACTAGAGATTTGTAACATATCACCGTGAAGTTAAAGGACCCCATTCTTTTTGCATGACCAAGAAGGAAGCTGAGGTCTGCAGAAATTCCATCAGTAATCAATACTACAGATGATACTGTACTAACCTCCAGCACTAGATCTAAGTACTTAGATATGGTTAGTTCTGTTCATTCCTAAGCATAACCTTATATCCTTACCAAACCCCCAACTTTCATAAATCTTCTCACTGAATCTTAATGTATCTAATTTGTCCCTAGCTGACCCAGGGGGATGGAAATAATGCAAAGCAATACAGTGTGAACAAACCAACCCTTTTCCATGTCCCCGACCCTACAGAGTAAAGCGCACGCACCTCCCTCTGTGTTGTAGCAATAGGCTGTGTAGTGTCCTGAGCCAAACCCTTTCCCGTGATGCATGACCACTGCGGAGAGATCATAGGCAAAGGTCTCTTTGTCAAGAGAGGAGAGCATGTCCCTGCAGCAGTAAGGTTCCATGGTTAATACCTGGTCAAAGACGACATGGACCCCAATCTTCTCACGATGATTACGGCCAGACCACCTAGAACATGGAATGAATTTCTTACTCATTAAACTAGTTAAACAAGAAGCTAGGAAAATAACTTTTCTCTTTTTGCCCCCCCCCCCCGCTAATCCATGTGCATATCTGCTGTGACAGTTCCATGGAGTATTTGAACCTACAAACCCCTAAAGAACGGTTCAGAGCTGGGTAATGGTGGCACACACCTTTAATCCCAACACTTGGGAGGCAGATGTAGTAGGATCTCTGTGACTTTGAAGCCAGCCTGATCTACAGAGTGAGTTCTAGGACAGGCTCCAAAGCTACAGAGAAGCCCTGTTTTGAAAAAACCTAAGAAAGAAACAGTTCATGCATGGGCTCTGTATAGTCTGTTACTTGCCCCTTTCATTGTTATTTTATACTGAATCCTTGGGATGAATCTGTGTAAGCCCAAACAAGGCTAGGAGAGGATTGGCAGACATTGGGTGCAAGCTAGAAATGAAAACAAGGCAAGAGGGCTGAACCCCAGGCTGCTGACTCCAACATCAGCTTTTCTTACTGGACAAGAACCATTGACTCTCCACAGCAAGTGCAAGGTGCCACAGAAACAGGCTTCTCCTTCTCATACCAAAAAAAGACATCTGTCCTCCCCAAGCCCTCGAGGCAGCTCATCCCAAAGCTCACCTGAATCTTTTAAGGTGCAGCCGGAGGACCTGAGGTAGTCTGTAGATCATTAACTGCTTTCTGGCTTCACTCAGAACAAGGGGTTTGGGGTTAGATTTTCGTCGTTTGCCTATATGGTTTGGAAAGGTGTAAGACATAGGCAGTGAGGAGCATCAACCACAGTCACTGGCCACTCAATAGACATTCTCTTTAGTTTTATTTATGGTAGTAATGCGACACATCCCAAATATGTCTGCATTTCCCAGCTTCACAGGCCCAAATGCAGTGGCTCTGAAGTTGTGGCTAAGATGAAAAGGGTGATGGGACCCTGAGTTAACTTTGAGGATAGGAGCTTTAAACCCCGATAGTGAAACAGTAGGAGCCTGCATTCCTTGATGTCTGTGCAGCCACATGTTAGCCTTGGGATGTCCTCCAGATTCTTTTATATGACAGTCACTGTTATTGGGCTTTTAAAAGCAGCCAAACCTGATCCTGATACATCTGCTTTTAAATTTTTGCCACCAGCAGCTTCCAGAGGTGATAAGGGTGCTGGGTAGTATATTGCAGGTGTCATGACTTTCTTGGAATACAATAGACAGCTGCTACCACAGTGAACACACTGAGTTGAACACCAGGGTTCTATGCTTTTACATCCCTATCACTTAAATTATCATGCACTTTATGTTTAAAGGGCGTTTTCTTTTCACAGACAGGCCTAGTTGAACTTCCTCCTTATAACTAAACTCTGAGCCTCAGCTCCCTCACGAGGAGATATATTTTTTGAATGTTACATATATTTAACACTTAAAAAAAGATGATAAATTATCATTACTAAAGGACAGAATATGAAAGCAGTTTTTTTCCCAACATGTTTTGTTTATGTTATAAATAAACTTTGGTAGTTGTGATGGCTAATTTTGGTTGTCAACTGGGCCTAGATGGCATAAGAAAGGTAGCTGATTGGAGCTTGGAAGCAAGCCAGGAAGTAGCTTTCCTCCAGGGTTTCTGCTCCAAACTCTTACCTTGAGTTCCTTCCTTGACTCCCCTTGATGAACTGCATATAACCTATAGGCTAAAATAAACCCTTTCCTCCCCAAGTTGCTGTTGGTAATGTCGTTTATCACAGCAACAGAAAGCTAACTAGGGCAGTAGTTCTGTGTTTTTATGCCACAGATTTAAAATATATTTCTCTTTCTTTCTCTCTCACATCCCGTTACCCTCTTAGCCTCCCTGTTCTGGCAACTTACTCTATAGACCAGGCTGGCCTCAAACTCAAAGATCCGCTTGAATGCTGGGGTTAAAGGCATGTGCCACCATTGCCTGGCTGAAATGTGTTTCTTTTTTCTTTTTTTAGAGTTATTAATTATATATACAGTGTTCTATTTGCATGTATGCCTGCATGCCAAGAGAGGGCATACAGATCTCATTATAGGTGGTTGTGAGCCACCATGTGGGTTCTGGGAATTGAACTCCAGACCGCTGGAAGAGCAGCCATTTCTCCAGCCCCTGAAGTGTGTTTCTTATAGACAAGGTGGGAAGGTAGCCAGGTTCATCTGGTCCAGTGGTTCCCAACCTCTGGGTGATGACCCCAAAGGGGTCAAATGATCCTTTTGTCACAGGGGTTGCCAAAGACCATTGGAAAACACAGATGTTTACATTATAATAGCAAAATTACAGTTATGAGTAGAAATGAAAATAATTTTATTGGTGGGGTCACCACAACATGAGGAGCTGTATTAAAAGGTTGAGGCGTTATGAAGGTTGAGAACCACTGGTCTAAACCAAAAGAACAAATGCTGACTCTAATTTTGTTTCTAAACTATAGACTTGTGAGTGAAATGGAGCCCTAAATCCTTAGAAAGTAGACAATGGGAATAAAACCTTCTGTGTTTCAACTGGAGACCTCTGTAAGCACTTTACTGATCCCTTAGAGGTGGTCCAGCTGCTTGTCTCTAAGCTGTTGCTCTCAGGGCTCAGAGTAGAAAGCATGGCATCTGATTTCAAGTCCTGTTTGTAGCACTTGTGAAAACAGCCCTCTGTGACAAGACATGAAGGGAGGGCTAGCTGCTCAGGGCAGACTGCATCAGATTGCATGTGTTGCTACAGAACTTTGACCAGCCATGAAGTCATGACATGTGGAATATGCAAAGAAGCACCTAGAGAAGGGCTTTGCCCGACTTTACCACTCCTGCTCATCAGCCTTTGAGAAGGACTAGCTGGCAGTGACCACAGTCCACAGCAGAGGGAGTACATGAGCTAAGATGAAAATGATGTGGACTGTCTGTTTCCCTCAATGAAAGTTCACACAGAGAAGAAATTGCTGACCCAGCTGAGAGGGACCAGCTCTGTCTCCATTTAGTTAAGATAAGACACAGAGAGGAAGAAGAGAGACAATCCTTAAGTTTCACAAGCACCACACCAATGCAGTTTATGCCTGCTGGGCCTTTCTTCTGCATTAGCAGGGCATAGAGCATAGAGAAGCCTGACTAATCCAGAAAAAAAAAATTACTTCCTGAAAAAAAACTGAGTAGTTCCTGCCTAATCTGTCACATCCAAAAATGATACAAAGTTGTTAATGCCCCTCTGTTTCTTACAGGTAAAAAGCTTTGGCCAGGTGTGGTGGTACATGCCTTTAACCCCAGCACTCGGGAGGCAGAGGAAGGCAGATCTCTGAGTTTGAGGCCAGCCTAATCTACATAGTGGAGTTCCAGGACAGCCAGGGCTACATAATAGAGAAACCCAGTATTAAACAAACAAAGAAACAAACCAAAAACATAGAAAATGCCCCCCCCCAAACCCAGCATATACTCCAAACAATTAATATAAAGTAATAAACTGATACCAGGTCATTGTGTGAGAGCCAAAGTTACATTTTAAATTTTAATTACTATGCCTAAGAGATCCACGAAATAAAAAATGCCTCTGGTCTGCAAGCCCCTTGCTCAAGGACAGACAGTTCCTTAAACACTGGAGGCTGTTGTTTATGGGAGACGACCTTGTTTGACCTGTCTGCACCAGATGTGCTTGGTAACATGAGGGGCAGGGGTTCGCAGGCAGGAAATATGTCAGTATATATGCTTGCCCCTGATTGGACCTGATGGGAAATGCCATGAATTGTGGGTTTTCTGTCTTAAGCCACTGCAAACTGTTATTCTTGGCTATTTCCCAGGAACCTGGGTGTGGACCTGGCCAGAGCCCACCCACCTGGCCAGTACTTAATTAAAAATTGCTTCAAATTTGGCTTTAAACTGTGGTAGTGGTCTTATTCTCAATTGGTGGGATTAACAATTGTGTTAATACATAAAAATACATAACTTTGTATTTTCATTTCTAAATCTTTATTAGGTCATAAAATCCGACACCAGGGTTGGAGACATTGCTCAGCATTCAGAGTACTGGCTGCTTCTGCAAGACAACCCAGGTCTGGTTCCCAAGGCCCACATGGCTGCTCAAAGCCAGTTCTAGCAGATTTGAAGCCCTCTTCTGACTTCATGGTGCATAGGCATACAGGGAAATACACACATAAAAACAAGCCAATCTTTAAATACCATCACCAGACACAAGCACCCATACATGTGCTGTCCACGTCTATCTATGCATGCTGGGCCAGCAGAAGCACTAGGTGTGAATATAATGACAGAGAAGGGCCTGCACATGTCCATGTAACCACACAGAAATTTAAATTAAACCAATGACACAGACTCAGTACAAAAACATACTTTCTTATCCTACAGCACTCAAATGGGGTATGCCACCTGAATTTAGGCTAAATAAGAACCTGGGACCCCACAGTATTATGAACTATCAGACTACACGTGTGAGCCTGGGACCCCACAGTATTATGAACTATCAGACTACACGTGTGAGCCTGGGACCCCACAGTATTAAGAACTATCAGACTACATGTGTAAGCCTGGGACCCCACAGTATTATGAACTATCAGACTACACGTGTGAGCCTGGGACCCCACAGTATTAAGAACTATCAGACTACATGTGTGAGCCTGGGACCCCACAGTATTATGAACTATCAGACTACACGTGTGAACCTGGAACCCCACAGTATTATGAAGCTAAGTACTAATGCTCCCACAGCCTGATTCAGAAACCACATTCATACACTTATCAGTCAGAAGGGTCAAAGGAGGCACAATTCTTATCTTAGGCCATTGTTTTCAGTGTTAAAGTGTGCGTACATAGGTGTGTGTGCTATGGCAATCTGTTCTCTCTAGCTACCTCTCTGGGTTCTAAGGACTGAATTTCAGGTCACCAGACTTGTGTAAAAGAACCTTTACTCACTGGGCCATCTCACTGGCCCAGGTCTGTTTTTAATATGTAAAGTCCATATTAGTTTTTTATAGAGACAGAAAAATATCTTTAAAAGATGGTTTAGACCCACTTAGTGTCTCCACATTTCTTTTGATTAAAGGGTCAAAAGCAGCTCCTTAAATTGTATTCCAGTTGCAATCCCCGCCCCCTCCACGCAACACTCACTGTTACACTGGTCACAAGCGTAGATTCTCCCCTCCAGGGCCTCTGTCTCGGTAAACTTGGCCAGCATCTCAGTGAGCAGGCACTCTGTCTGATTCAAAGGGACAAACCCCTTTTCTATGCAGTGGTAGCGTTCAGGGAATTCCAGGGACAGATCCCAAAAGGGCTCAATGGTATTGGATTTATAATTGCATGATACACATGTAACCTAGAATGACAAGATTGGTTTGCAGATTATATAGTTTCCATGCTTCCCACATACATTTTGCTTGTTGTAAAGAAGACATAAAATCACCAACCACTTCTCCCAAAAAGGTTAATAAGAACTGCAGTAAAAGCACTGGGACACATTGTGTTAATAAGAACTTAAATAACTGCAGTAAAAGCACTGGGACATACTGTACATGGCTGCATTTCCAACCATGCTGTAACTGAGGAGCCACAGGGCACCCCTGCTTTCCCCCCTCTCTCCCAATGAATGCTGCCTCAGTGGAGATAGCAAGTTACCTCGGAGGCATTCGTTGGGCTAAGAGAACTGGCAGGTCACTGTCTGCTTTGTGAATCCACAAATTCTTCTCACTTGGTCCTTCCAGGTAGCAAATTTACCTCTTCTACCTTCCTTCCTTTTCTCCCATACTCCCCTCATCCGTATTTTCCTTTAACATAAAATCTCACTGTGTATTCCTACTGGCCTAGAACTCATTATATAGCCCAGCTGGCCTTGAATTCTGGTTTCTCTTACTTCAGCCTCCCAAGTGCTGCGGTGGTGACTACCCATTTCCTATAATGTCCCGTCTGCTGCACCTCAGAATGCTGTGGTTAGACTTGCTCTTATACCATAATATTCCCAGATGCCATTTCACATGCAGAAAGGAAGGAGAAAGCCCTCAGTTTCCCTTCCTAGACTACTCATCATACTTCCCAAAATCTTAATAAGTGAGGCACAAAACCTCTGTAACTCAGTGGAGAGGCTTTACCCAATTCTCCTTACGTTGTCCGCCCTTTATTTTTAAAAATCTATAATAATTCTTTTTGTGCATATTTTTATTAGGCCTGGGAATCTTTGCTTAAGTCTTGACATGGTCTTGATCCTGAAAATGAAAGATAATAAGGACATGAAGTCTATAATCCGGCACTGAGAGATGGAGTCAGGAGGACCAGAAGTTTAATAACCTCAGCTGCATAGTTAAAACACACTGAGCTACTGGGGACCATATATTTGGGGTGGTTATGGGTAGCGGGAAGGAGGCTTACTTGGCCTTTGGCATAGTTCCAATTACTACTTATAAATAAAAGGAAAGGCTCTTTCAAACGACTTTGGAAACAGTTTTCTACACAAACTGTTCAGTTTTATAAACTGGACTAAAGATCAAGACACACAGAACCTCAAGTTCACCTTTATCATCACCAGCATACAGTGTCAGGTACAAACAATCATTTTGAAACATGCAAAGTCTCAAAAATATTGGCTATACTAATTAGTTAGCCCAGGGATCTGGAAGCCCAACTACACACCTACCTGACTGAGCAGCTGCCCGTGAAATATGGTGTTCACCACCTTTAAGACCTGTTTGGTGAGCTTCCTCTGGGAGAACGGGATGAGGATCCGGCGCGTGGAGCCCTCAGACTCAAGTTCCTGCTGCACCTTGTGCAGCAGTTCGCAGAGAAATTCCTGTGCGTCCTGCTGGTCGTAGCCACGGAAGGCGGGAATGAGGCTCCACACTGAGTGAAGCATGGCAAAGGGCGATACCAGTGCCCACTTCCCAGACCACATGACTCGGAAGAGGGTGTGCAGTTCGTGGCAGAGGGAAATGTGCTTTGAACTGGGTTCCTTGTTCTGAATGAGCTCCAGGCTTCTGCTGATCGAGGCTCCACTGTTCCAGCAGAAGCCTTGAGGTTCGAATCCCTGGGCAGGGTCGCTCTTTACTGATAACTCTGCGGCAGAGCTGCTGGCTGGCCTACCAGAGAGCTGAGCCTTCCCGTTGGTTGCTTGGGGAAACAGGTGCTCAGAGGTGGAAGGGTCGAGGTTCAGGAAGCATTCCCGGAATTTCTGGAGGTGGCTAAGCACTTGGAGGATGGAGTTCATGTAGCAGGTGTTGCCCAGATTGCGTAGGCCGGTGACACCTGGGGCCACCGCCGGCTGCCGGCGCGGCTTAAGGGTAGCCGCGGGCGCGCGCCGGGAGGTAGCGAGGGTAGCAGGGCGCACGGCCACAGGCCCAGGCGCGTGCAGGAGCAGGCGCGCACTCTTCCGCGGCGGCGCGCTGGCTAGCTCCTCCAGCAGTCGCCGCTTGACCTCGCGCCTCCGCCGCCGGGCCTCCTCTTTCTTGCGCTCCAGCGCCTCCTCCCGCCGCCGCTGCTCCAGCTGCGCTCGGCCCCTGGAGCTCTTCTCGAACCACAGTCGCAGCGTCTTGGCCAGCAAGCGCTGGCGCCTGTACCACAGAGCCGTGAGCATCTGTGGCTGTCCCTGAGGAGTGCGCTGCGGTGGGACCACGTCCTCGCCTGCAGCTGTAGACCGTAGCATCCGCCCACGCCTCGCGGGCTGGTCCTGCTTTTGGCCTTGCACCGCCAGGAGGGAGCTTCTCAGCAGCTTCAGGTCCCCCTCGGGGTTGTCATTGAGCACGTAATCCTTGCACAGGTAGCAGAACACGTAGAGATCCCGGACCTCCATGGCCAGCGGGTGTCCGGTCTCTTCAAAGTGTTTTAGTGCATGGTCTTCAATGTAGCGGCCGCAGGCCACGTGGGAACACTTGAGGCAGGCCCACGCAGACTCCGTGGTGGAGCACTCCAGACAGCACCACTTCTGAGGGTTTAGGATGGAGTGGTCCTGGGCGAGTCGTAACCGCCCTACATGTTTGCATCTATCCATGTTTTAGAGCAGTCGCCACTCTCTTAATCTGCCCCCAAAAGGAAAAAAAAAAAAGCAGAATTTCAGCAAAATATTTTCCTAGAAAAAAGGGGGTTGTAATTGGCATATCTGTGCAAGACTTATTTTTATTTTTTATTTTTTTCAAGACTTATTTTTAAATTCAAAATTTGTTCTTTTGAAAGCAGAAACTGATATTTCAAGTACCACCAGGAGAGAGACAAAAGTCTCCAAACCAACCTGACAACCTTAGGTCAATTTCAGTGTATTTCAAAGCAGAGGTGCAGAATCAGGGAAAGATAAGAAAAAGAAAGTCAAATGACAACTAATGAGGCAGCGCCCCAGCCTCAATTTTAGAAGCTAGCCTTTCTAAAGAGGATACATTCTGTAGAGAGAATCGCAAAACTCTCACTGTCTTTACGGAAAAGTAAATAGACAAATAAATCTGATAGGACAAGAGGTGGGTGTGGCTATTGGGATGGCAGTTTTCAAGCTAACCACCCAGTCAAAACAAATAAAACAGAGGCAAGCTTGCTTCCCTTTGGTTTTGATACCGACTTAATTTGTAGCCCAGGCTGGCTCAAACTGGTAGCAATCCTTCTGCCTGTGTTTTGAGATAGGGTCTCACTATGTTGCCCCGGCTGGCCTGGAACTCATATGGAGCCCAGGCTGGCGTTGAACTCACAGAGATTTCCTTCTCTGTACCCCTACTTTTGGGATCACTGGTGTGCACCACTATGTCTGGCTTTTTAATATTCTTCATAAGGGAAATATAGTAGGCAATTTATCCAAGGGGATTAAGATGAACAAATACTTTAAAAATGTTTTATTCTTTGGAAATCTTAAATTTTCCCAGGATTAAAAACATCCTAAAGGTGCTAAGGGGTGGTGCACACCTTTAGTCCCAACACTCAAGAAGCAGAGGCAGGTGGATCTCTGTGAGTCTGAGGTCTGCCTGGTCTACAAAGTGAGTTCCAGGACAGCTAGGGCTACACAGAGAAACCCTGTCTTGAAAAACAAAGTCCTAAAGGCAGTTATCTAAATTCTTAAAAATTATTTATTTATGAGACAAGGTTTCACTATTATGTAGCTCTGGATGTCCAGGAAGTCACTATGTAGACCAGGCTGTCCTTGAACTCACAGATCCACCTGTCTCTGTCTCCCAGTGCTAGGATTACAGGTGTGCACCACCACTGCCTGGCTAAAAGATTTTGTTTTGTTTGTTTCTGTTTTTATGTTATTTTATTTTTTAATGTTGGCTGATTTATTAACTACTGATCAATGGGAAAAATGAAACATGCCAAAATAAATAAATAAATAAGAAAAAACCCTCAAATCCAAAAAGGAAAGCCATCTAATCAAGATAATGATTTCTCTTTGAGTACTAGCTTCTACTGTATTACTTTCTAATCATTATTCATTCTTATTCTCATTATTTCCTATTGATTTATAGCTATGCACCCGTTAAGTAACTTCTCTAGATGTGTTTGTTTATTTTGGTGAGACATAATCTCTAGAGAAGAGTTCGTGTGTTACAAGACAAAGACCTGAGTGTTCAACTATAGCTTGACCAGTATTATCAGAATAATTTTCTCGGGGGCTGGGGATATAGCTCTGACAGAGCACACGGTTAATCCTCAACACTAGTAGGGGAAGGAATTATTCTCCCAGTTTGAAACAGTCTGAAATAAGCATTTCTGGGGCACAGACAAATTACAACACACATACTGATGAAGAGATGAAAGGGTTAGATGCTACTCAACTCATGACAATGCAAGCTGGATCTGCCTACGATGTTCTCAAACCAGCTACTGGAACACAGAATCAGCAGGAATGGCATGTTTCTATTTCTCAAACCAGTCCCTGAGCTCCACCAGCATCAGATCTCCTCAGGCTCCCACCCACCTACTATGTCATACCTGATGAGTCGGAATCTGCAGATGGCCAAAATATCCATTTTAGACAAACTCCAGAGATAAATCTCTCACACATAAACATTGCATTAACCCAACAAATTAGGATGAAGAACTCAGAAACCAGAAAAGAATTCTATTTTCCAAAGCCCTTCTCACTTGCCCAAAGGCAGGATCTCATTTCATTAGCAGCCCTCGTTGTCCTGGCACTTGTGACATAGAGCAAGCTTTTCTCAGATTCAGAGACTGGCATGCCTCTGTCTACTGAACGCTGGGATTAAAGGTGTGCTCCACCGTACCTGGCTATTTTCTAAATTCTCCCACTCAGACCAACAGTGCCTAAAATAATAAACTATTCTCTCTCTTGCTTCCCAGTACTATAGTAACTGGTCATGTGACCACCAAGCTCTTGAAATGTGCCTAATGGGATTAAAGGACTGAACTTTTTTTGGGGGGGACGGGGTTGAGACAAGGTTTCTCTATGTAGCTTTCGCTGTCCTGGAACTTGGCCCTGTAGACCTCACAGAGATCTGCCTGCCTCTGCCTCCTATGCTGGGATTAAAGATGTGTGCCACCACTGCCTGCCTGGCAGGACTCAACTTTTAATTTCATTAATTTTCATTAAGATAGTCAGGAGAAGCTGAGCATAGTGGCTCATGCCTTTAATCCCAGAACTTGGGAGGCAGAGGCAGGTGGATCTCTGTGAGTTCAAAGCTAGCCTGGTATACAGACCAAGTGCCAGCCAGGCCAGTCAGGGCTACACAGGGAGACCCTGTCGTAAAAACAAACAAACAAACAAACAAAAAAACCATAACAATATAGTCTTATCTGGCTAGTGACTACAGTCTGTGATAACACAGGTTTAAACACACCAGGCCCAGCCGAGTGGAGGCTTTCAGATTTATATCTTAATGACCTCTTCTTACGAGATTCTGATGCCCAGAAAATGCCCATTTTGTCCTAGTGTATCTTGAGAAGTTAGCTGCCACCAAATCTGATACTATGAAATACAGCACCAGAAGACTAATGTCTTTTAAAGTCAGCTCCTGGGCTAAAATGAACTAGAGAAACAACACAGACCACAACCCAACAACCCACACTGTCTCTGTGGAGATGATCAAGCATACCCTTTCCTGCTCAGCTTCCTTCCCCATTACAAATCTGTAGAGGTGACTCACTAAGCCTGCCACATGGCAGAGTACACCATTCAGGAAAACACTAGGCCACTTTGCAGCACACCAATCACCCCAGCTAGGCAGACTAGCTTCTCAAAGGACAGCACATCTAATCTCAAAATGGAAATCTCACAAAGTAATGCGAAATAAAAACAACTACCTTATCCAATACAAGACAGAGTAGAAGGAACACAACCTCTAATAGGTGTGACTCTCCCACATGCGTTCTGACTTTATTTCAGAACAGGCCCAAATCCCACTAACAGAAAGGGAATTCTACTTTGTATTTTTCTGACATGTACATTCTTCTCTCCATATTCTCAAAGACCACAATAATTCTAAATTTTCACTTGACACATACATCACCAGTGTGACAGGTACTCAATACTCTAAACAAACGAACCTAAGTGTGACTGGCAAAGAACGGACTGCCTCTCAGCAGCTCTGCACTGGAGTAGACCAGACACTTCATGTACAAATGCCCTGCACACCCTGGACTCAAGTGTATATGTGAAAGTAAATCCAGCAAGTATTTTTTAATCATCATAGTTTGTTTATTTACTCTTTTTTTTTTTTTTTTGTTTTTCGAGACAGGGTTTCTCTGTGGTTTTGGAGCCTGTCCTGGAACTAGCTCTTGTAGACCAGGCTGGTCTCGAACTCACAGAGATCCGCCTGCCTCTGCCTCCCGAGTGCTGGGATTAAAGGCGTGCGCCACCACCGCCCGGCCTCTTTTTTTTTTTTTTTTGAAGCAGGGTCTGACACCCAGTTCAGGCTGTCCTTGCACTCTTCCTGCCTCCGCCTGTCAAGTGCTGGGATGTCCTAGTTAGGGTTAATGTGACCAAAAGTTACTAGGGAAAGAAAGGGTTTATGTAACTGAATGTGTAAAAAGGGGTGAGGGCGCGAGTCAATCCCAAACTAACTTCGGAAGATTCCAGTTATTGTAAGGGGAAAACTCACAGAATAGGAGCGAGAAGTCCAACTTCAAGGTGTGTTACGTGGAAATAGAGAGCAAGAGCTGGGCAGGCCAGCAGTTTTCTCTGGGTACCCAAAAGGTCACACCCCAACCTGGTCCAGCCTCTTCAAGGTCATTGGCTGAAGGAGGTTCCCCCATCAGGTTTACTTCACTTATACTTCTGGGTAACAACAGTTCATCAATGAGGGAAGTCAGGGCAGGAACTCAAACAGGGCAGGAGCCGATGCAGAGGCCATGGAGGGGTGTTATTACTGGCTTACTCCTCATGGTTTCTTATAGAACCAGGACCCTCTCTCTATCTGTCCAGGGATGGCACCACTCAGAATGGGCTGGGCCCTCCCCATCAGTCACTAATTAAGAAAATTCACTACAGGCTTGCCTACAGCCTGATCTTATGGAAGCATTTTCCCAACTGAGGCAGTTTCTTCTCTGATGACTCCAGCTTGTGTCAAGTTGATGTTAAACTAGCCAGTACATGGGATTACAGGTATAAACCACAATTCCAGCACCTTATTACACTTGCAGGTGTAGCTGAGTGCTCTGCTTAGCAGTCATGATGCTCTAGATTCAGTATCCCCAGTAACCATAGAGGAGAGGAAGAAAGGAAGAAGCCAAAAGCTGAATCAGCTGGGTATAAAACCAGAATCAAGCTTTAAATGATCCCACAATTAACTATCCCTAAGTGTCAAATGAAATCTGACCATTGCCTTTTGTTGTGATGAGAAACTTCTTGATTTATTATATCATCTAAATATTGTTTAAAATTTATTTTCTTTTATATGTACGTGTACATGACTATGGACACTAGGAGAGAAAGTTGGATGCCCTGGAGCTAGAGTTATAAGCTGTTGAGTGTGCCAGATGTAGGTGCTGGGGACTTAACTTGGAAGCTCTGGAAAAGCAGGAAGCACTCTAACCACTAAGTCATCTCTTCAAGAGATGAATGAACATTACAATTATTGTTTAAAAA